CCCCCCCCCCCCCCCCCCCCCACACACACACACACATTCTGGCCTGTGTTCATGGATGGGGGAATTATATTACCCAGACCTCCTCCCAGTTATGATGAATCCACAGCCCTGAGAAGACTGGCCATCCCGACCTCCATTTGCAGGAGATTAGGTCCTCTGATTACAATGCCAACTACCTCCCACCACTAGATACATCTTCAATGGGAGCCCAAACGCAAAGCCCTCCAGTTCCATTGAACTTAATAATTTAGTGTTAGAGGGGGACAAGTATTTATGGTAATTCAAATGGAGCTGGAGATTTTTGACTCGACGGGCAAGCTGAAGAATGGGTTTAAGTTAAAAATGGCACTTGCCGAGATTTAAATTTAGAGATGTCTATATATTGAATTCATATTCGGTTTCATTGCACTGTGACACAAATGATCTCACATTGCATGAATCTCTCGGGAAGGGTGAATATGTTAATTAATGTGCCATGTAGGTGTTATGAAATAAAGTTCACGTGAAATGTCACACTGCTGTCAGCCTTCAAAAATATGAATTATGAGTTTGGCTAAAAGCTTTTGTTGATATATAATGTGGCCGTGTAATTGTTCATAGATCATTATGCTGAGAGGTGGTGGGGTTAGGATGCAGTCTGCATGCCTAATTTGCACTGAACGCATGCTGTAACTGGGTTACTAAGAAGCACTAATTTGACTGCATAAGCAGCACACAGCCAGTAAGCATTGTGTACAGCAGTGGTTCTCAGCACTGTGCCATCAGAGCTGAGGAGCCTGTGGTTTTTTTAATTCTGACCAAACACAGCAGCGGCTGATTTCCACTGATTGGTTCCACGTCTCTGGTAAAAAGCTGCTGGAATCAGCCGCCGTAGTGTTTGGAGGGAATGAAAACCTGCAGAGTCAGCGGTACACGGCTGAGATGCAGCGTGATGAATATTAAAGGGGACATGTCAGGCTCATTTTCAGATTCACACTTGTGTTATGGGTTTCAAACAGAACATGTTTACATGCTTTAACGTTTAAAAAACGCTTTATTTTTCTCACAATTTCTGTCTGAATAAACCTCTATTCACCCTCCGCTCAAAGCTCAAGACCCTGTCCCAGCCTTCATTCAGTAGTCCAGCCTTTGCAAAGGTAGTTCTCAAGCTGTGGGCGGAGATACTTATATTCCCAACTCAACTCCAAAGGAATGATCATATTGACCCGTAGCTGCTGTAGATGTGAATAAACTAGTGTTTGCTATCTCAAGAGGTCACGTGTACATATTAGCTTGTTGAATCACATGTTTTCTGATCAAAGCAGGCCACAACAATACTGACTGGGTCGTCTTATTTCACAGTTTGTAGGTTGGTAGGCACTCGTCTCGAGGTACCAAAATGCATGTCCTGAAAAAGTGAGTTTTTTTCATGAGGTGTCCCCTCTAACATTTACTCGAAGACTAAATGAAAGTGTTGGCGGAGATGGTTTGTGTGCCCTAAACTTTCACATCACGTTCAGATACCCAAGAGATCCTTGCTTTATATTTGTTCTGCTGAAAATGTCAACCTTGAAATGCTCTGTGATGAATTGCGGTGCGGACAGCCGCATCCACGCTGTGCTGTAAATCATCACGTATCACTTAGAACCTCGGCCGCCAGCGTGACCATTAACATACAGATGGTCTCTGACTTCTGACCCTGATCCTTCCTAGGTGTCCATGAATTGCGACTACGTGTTCGTGAACGGGAAGGAGACGCGGGGATCCATGAGTGCGAGGGTGATCTTCAGCTACGAGCACCTGAGCGCACCACTGGAGCTGACCGTCTGGGTGCCCAAACTCCCCCTGCAGGTGGAACTCTCTGACAACAATCTCAGCTTCATCAAAGGCTGGAGGGTTCCCATTCTGCCCGATCGAAGGTGAGGCTCAAGTCCAAATGCAGATACCATTGGAACGCATGCAATGGTATAAGGGAATTACAGTTTTATGCGACTTGGGTCATATTTTCATAGCTATGTTCCCATCTGTAAAATATGAAAATCTCCAAATGAACTACTGAGGTTTGGGAACGTGGCAACATCACTGAAGACAGGGCAAGAATCATGAGTTCAGACAGGTTGTAAACAAAGATAGGCCAAAGTTCTTTAGAATAATCAAAGGTGAACTGTGAAATTATTGTCCGTTCATCACAGCTCACAGGCCGACTTCCTGCCTCAACTTTGACCGTGGCTAGCCGTAGTTTCCCCGTGTAGTAAGGGATTATAATGCTCATATAGAGACTAACATGTTTTGCCACAAAGTAAAAGCTTGAGAGCTCATAAAGACAGGCAGTGATGCAGGATATTTATTTTGGTCATTACAGCTGATACAAGCATAAAACAGATTTTTTTTTTCTCATTTATTTGGGATAATTCTTTCAACAATCAGAAGTTGGCCTTAAAGGTGCATAATACCATATTGGGAGTATTTCTTTTGCTTTTCAACGGCTCTCAACAAATGACAAAGCCTGAGCCGGCGGCTCGTAGCTAACGGTGCTAACAGCGCTAACAGTGTTTACCTGAGGGGGAACCTGAGGGGGAACCGGAGGGGGAACCGGAGGGTGGGTGGGTCCAATGCTTCTGTGATGACGCTGTCAGTTGTGAGCAGTGCAGAGCGGCGGCCGTGAGTGTGGCAGGCTCACATGCATGAACACGCACTAAAAGCAAACACAGAGGGAGAGCAACTACATTCGTAATTTTCAAGGGAGCATTCTGTTCCTAAGTATACTCATGGTAAAAGCCAACAGAGCCAGAGAGCAATTGGTGCAGTTTAATTTGTTTTTTCTTCCTACTTTTACTGTAGAACTCATCCTGAGAGCATGGAACCCAGTGTTAAACATTGGAAACTAAAATGCAGCCCAGCTTTCTCTCTCTCTGGTACTCAGGATTTCATTTGCAGGCACTTGTTTTGCTCCAATTAGATGCTCCGGCTCAGGTACACAGCAGAAATGTACCCTGCGAAATGAGGCTCTGGAGTGCAAATTTGATCTACGAGGTTGTCATGTTTGTGTCGTACCCATCTGAACCCATTTTAGACAACAAGTCCGAGACACAGACTTAATTTGACTTTGGGTAAGTACACAGAAAGCTTTCTGATTGCATATTGGTTGTACCTTCAGGGAGATAATTATGTTTTTGGACTAAGTACGTCATTTAGGGTGTTACTCAGGACTCAACATGATGGTCAGAGCTGTGGTACCACCGAGAAGAAGCACCGCCATGTAGAACATATAACTATCTATTTTTACTTCATTAGCATATTGTGAGTGAAGTATTTAGACTAAATGTCTCATTCAGCACATGGTCAGGGAATAATACATCTTTTAAACATGATACGATTATAATACAGTAGAAGCTTTTGTCAATAGAAGAAATCCAGCCAATACAAAATGAATGAGCTGTTTGAAATAGGACACCATTAGATGTGGAAACAATGGCACCAGTGGGACATTAAAGTTGTTCGAACCAGGACCCCGAAGGAAAGACTGTGGTCTTAGGTTGAGGAACCTGGGCTCATTAAAATATTCCAGCATTCTTGTCATGCACGGAGCAGTGACAAACAGGCCCACAACCCTCCATTCAGGAAATGTTTAATGGGAGCATTAACACTCACGCGGGCGGCTGCTGTCGTCGCTGCTGGAGTTCATCACCGTCGACCAAATCCATTTCTACCCAACCTGAATACAAATGGCGTGTTTAAGGGGTTGTTTGAAGAATTAAGGTATTGCAAATGACCTAGAGTGCTTGGAATACATCTTGCGTAGCCTCGTTTTTTAAAGATCCCCTATGGGCTGTGATGCGCTATAGGTTTTATTTTTATTTTTTTACATGTAAAATGTGTCTTGAATTCCCACTTCAGCACCATTCATTCCTTTTTTTTGCTTATTGAAGTAGAAACCTGCAAGTGAGGAATCATATATGTGCTTTTATCAGACGTATGAGATATTCAGACCTGGTTATTCTGAATGGTGTTCACCGTTTGTCAAGTGTTTACCAGACACCAGGGTTTGCCGGAGGTCTCACATAGTAAAAAATATATTTCAGTTGTTATTCAACGTCCCCTGAATATCAAATGTCAGCCTGTCCTCACTCTCAACTCGTCAAATACACCAGCTTGGTCAGTGGCCATACGCCTCAGAATGTGACTCTCTGCGAGGCTTTAAGTATAGCAGGACTGAAAGGGAAGTCAGGGTATACCGAGTGACAAGTTCCACTTGGGGTAGCAGTCAGGGATGAAGGATGGTTCAAACAAATGCAGGACTTTCACAAAGGAGACCAGTGTTTGTGTCCCGTGTGAAACTAAAAGTCAACAATGACTTATGTTAAGCTACCCAACATTACGTAATGTCACTACATCACTAAAGCTTCGTGTATACTCGTTGGCGCTCAAGCTCCGAGCACGCACGGAGGCGTTTATACTCTATGAGCTGAATTATTCTTCGAAAAGCCAGAAGGCGTACAAACAAAATGAACTGTGAAGAATCAAAAAAGACAACAAGTTAAATTCTTAGATATAAACATAGACTGTAGGTGTAAGTGGCCAAAAGCCATAAAACAACCTCCACAATGACGAGGAGGAATTGTAATAATCTGTAAACTCATTTTCATATTCACGGGCTGCTTTATTGCCTTTATACAAGTTTTGTAAGGAAAAAAGTCAAGTATTAAAAGCATTATAAAGAAACAAAGGTTGAATATCCTGTAAACTATTTGATTTGGCTGCAAAATATTTACTCAAATGTAGATTTCTAACACCTCCTGTGTCAAAAGTATCTAATAAACAAATTGCCCTTCTTTGTATGATCCCCAGACATGTAAATAGTGCTTTCATCACTGAACTATTTGTGATGGTCATGTCTGAAATGCTCTGATCGTGCACGACAAGTGCAGGAAGTTACAAAAATTCCGAGGTGCACGACCAAGCGCCGGCTTCACTACGGCGAGTATAAACTAAGCTTAATGTAATGTAGCATAGTTATGTGACATCACTATGTCACTTGTGCAGCTCAACGATACGTAATGTTAATAACATTATGAGATGTAATAAATATACTTGAATATGTTGACCCCAAACCAGGTAGTTAGGTTAATTGACACGTGGAAAATGGGGAAGCTTGAGCGTCATAGTTTGACACGTTGTGCCACCGACCAACCGGCTGTATTTGATGAGCTGGGAGTGAGACGATGTTGGAATAGTTGGCGAATAGGTGTGCTTCTAAGTATTAATCCGTATAATCCTGTGTTGTGCAGTCATGAAAACAAAAATCAAAGCCCCCTTGTGAGCTATTTCAGGTTGCTATGCCAGACCACACGGGCAGGCCGGGGAATTCATTTCACTGCAGGTGAAGCATTTCCTACTTGCATGCTGTCATTCGGACTCGCCCAGGGAATGTCATCTTCTTTGCTTTTCTCTGTAGTGTTTTTGCAGCATCAGGCAACTGCAGACAAAGACAGCTCCCATCACTGTGAGTGGTGCCCCATGCAGCCTATTGAAGCTGCTGGTACCGACTAGACGGGCCTTCCCACAGGACGTTCTGTTTTCAGTGATGTTCCTGGTGGGAGTTTTGGACATATCTCATGATGTATGCAATGCAGCATTTTCTGTTTTTCTGTTGCCTGATCCATAGTTGTAGCAGTATCACAGCAGGCCGGGTGGAGGCCTGAGTGTAACTTGCACTAAGAATATATTTTACTTGACAGGAAACAGATCAATCCCTCCTTTCCTTCGCACCTCTTGATTGATCGATTCAGTAGCATTTGTTTTGTTGAGGAAACAGCTGACGTCTTATTGCAGGGTAATTGTTCTTGTCAAAGTGTCGATGATGCCGAGGCCGTCCATGAATCACGATGGAACAAGTTCCTTTCAAAGAAGCACGTCTATTCTCCACATTTATCACGTACAATAGACTCACATATCGTGGGGTTTTTCACATATTTCACATATTAAATGCAAGACTATTTTTTTAATGATTCTGTTCATTTCAGTTTTTTTAAACAATTCTATTTAGAAAAATTAGATTGACTTGAACCTGTGTATTAAGACATGAGACGTCTTTTTGACTTACAAAACAACAACCTGGACGTCTGCCATTAACAGAACAAGACCACTGCCAACAAGACTAACAAGCTGTACCGTACCGAGGCAGAGAACGGGCCCAGAGCGTGACGTGATTTACGACAAATCATCTTAATTGTGAGGAAGGCCAGCACTTACAACAGCACTGGCATGAGATAGCAGGATCTCTTTGTCTTGACCTTGGTATGTTTGTTTACAGTCATTATGGAGTGCTGCGATAATGAATTAGATGATGTTTGCACAGGCCTCACAAAGGACTGTAAATAATACCTCAAAGATAGAACTCATGTAGCTCGTTAGTCATCTCAAACTCACACCGAACCGTGATGCTTATCAGCATCAGACTTTGATAAAGCTGCTTCATTTTGTGATGGTTAGAATGAATTATTGTCTTTTCATTAACTCCTCTCAATCCTCCCCATCGCTCTGTCTCCCTTGCTTCCTCTCATAAGGGCTCTGGCTCTCCTTTACACAACCTCTAACCTCCCACACTCATTCCCCTCGCCTCCTTAGCTCTTTTCTTTTCCTTCCCATTGCAGTCTTTCCATCCCACGTTCCCTCACTTCTGCAACGTGACACATTCTGTACCTTCATCCGCAGCGAGGTCTCTTGGCCTGCAGTGGACCTTTGCTACAGTGCAGCAGAATTGCTCACTGGCTGCATTATCCAGCAACATGCTCTGAAAAGGGAAAGGAAGTGTAATCGGGCGGGCAGTCCGTGTGCACTGAAGCTTCAGCTTGTACGGTTGTATCAGAAACTCTAATAAGAACAGACAATATTCTTCTGCGGGAGAAAAAATATCAACCTTATTTTCAGGTACAGACTCAGGGAGGTAAACCTTCTCTGACCTGAGCCAAGAGTTGCGAACTCTTTGACAGAGGCAGAGAGCGTCTTAGCCTCAGTCTCGTCGGTTTCTTCCTCTGCTTTTAACTGAGTGTGCGGTCGCAGCGTCTGCTGTGGAGTTAACTCACCTAAGTACAGCAGAAACTACACGACCTGAAGCTGCACCGTCAGTCTCCAACGCACAGAGGACCACAGTGGGAAGTCCAGGTGGAAGCCAGGCCAGAGAGCTAATATCAACTGGAAGAAATATTGCATCAGACCTAGGATCAGTTTTAGATTCCAGTTGTCCAGCTCAGGGTCTTCTTGTATTACATTAATATTTAAGATAAGATAAAACAAGATTAGATCAAATTAGATTAGATTAGATACAATAGGATAAGATAAGATAAATAAGATAAGATTAGATCAAATGAGATTAGACTATATGACATAAGATAAAACAAGATAAGATTAGACTATATGAAATAAGATAAGATAGGATAAACTAAGATAAATTAAGAAAAGATAAGAATAGATACGATAAGATAGATTATGTTATAAATTTGTAGTCTGAAAGCGTGACCTGAGAGCCACTGAAGATATTCTAAACCTGTTTTTAAAGGCTGAGTTTACTCGTCATGTTGAATAAACCTCTTGTGTAAAATTGGTGGAAATACCCTTTAAATTGAAAACAATTTACTGTTTTGAGTTTTTCAGATGTTCTATTTTTATTCTTCATTTTCTGCTATTTGTTAAAAAGAACCAACTTTACTGTTGTGAAGTACCACAACTACTCATTACACACAATTCTGTTTCAGTGTATTGTTTTCAGGTTTGTTCAGCTGATCCTGATTATGTGATAAATTACCATTTTGTTGCATTTTTTTTTAAACTTAAATTTCACTTCCCATGAATAGAAATGCACCAAATGGTCCAGTCTCAACTGGAATGATGCATATAATTTATGCATCACCCCCCCCCCACTTGGCTGAATTGCTGCAGTAAGACCAGGTTGTTGCAGCTACGTGCTATCTCTATGTTGTTTGTCCTTCTATTGTTTGACAGAATGCATAGATGCACATTGAACTGATGCTCTGCAACACTGCACTGAATAATCTAACGCCTTTGGCTTTTTACCTGTCGAGACGATCGTTTTCATGGTGTTCAATTCACAGTGGCTTTGCCACCGTGTTACAGAAATCACACAGTGACGGTGAAGGAGCTTTGCATTTTTTATTTATCTCAAAGAAACACATTCAACCAACCGAAACAGAAGTGATAAGTCCAAGACCCGAGCGAGAGAGGTTTATGAGGTGAAGTTCATTAAATGAACAACTACATGCAGGTACCTCCAATGATCCATGAGAGCCTGATGGGAAACCCTGTTATTCCTACACATCATATAACCTGTCAGTGCAACGTTATTCACCTCATTCTGTGCCTGAATCAGGCGCTTCTGCATCGCGTCATTTCGTAATCTTACTTATGCTTTAGAGCAGAATTACTTTTCTTAGCATAACCAGGTTTATCATCCTTTACTTTACCAAAATAAATGTTTTTATGCTTCAGCTCGAATCTTTCATCAGATGAGAAAAGTGTCCAATAAAATTCCCAATGTGTGATCTATCAATTTAAATAATGCCTTTTTATGAAGTCTATGCCGAGGTTTTTTGGAACTGTGAGGAGCTGCTGAACCTGTGAAACCAAAAAGCACAAGTCAACAGTGTTTTTGTAATTATCCTCACTGCCAGAAGAGGTAGACACAGATCTGTACTGCATGTTCAACCATGGGGTGTAAAGAAATCAGAATAATAGAGAAATAGCTAGATAGCGAGCTAGCGAGCAGCTAGGTACTCGTTAGCAGACAGACAGACCTTCGTCCACCATTCTGGCAGTGAGAGTAACAAAACACTGTCATGTGCTTTTATACTCCGAGTTTGACTCGCAGTTGTACTGATGTGCTTCGTTCTGTATAGTTCCTCACAGTGGAGCCATCTACACCAAGAGGCGCTACGCAGTAATCCAAAATATGTGATTTCAGGCCGTTTTCATGAGTCGTCCTACCAGTCGCTGATGCCTCATGGATGTGATACTATCATCAGAATCAGAATCGTCTTATTGCCAAGTACGTTTGAACATATAAGGAATTTGGCTTGGTGAAAATCAAGCTTGGTAAAACCCTCCGCTCGCCACAGTGGAGCTGCTGGATGTTACCAAAAAGCATCCATTGTTGGGGGGAAGCATGAGGTGTAGAGAGGAAGCAGGCTAAGATGAATTAATCAAACCCAGTAGGTGGGACAGGCTGAGAGGTGCACGCAACAATGCACTTAGCTGTTGACCGAGGTGTATGCTAAGCGCCGATGAGACCTCGGGACAGAAGTGTTTCGCCTAATGAGCGGACCTGTTCCTTGAATCAACGGGTGGGATATGTACTCTGTCAGTGGCTGACAGCCCCGCTGCTTCTCCTGAATCGCAAGTCGTTCAGATATTTAAGTCACAGCCAAGATTAAGCCGAAGAGTGCTGTATAAGGAGGAGCTGGCAGACTGGCCAAGCCTGCTGAGCGTAGTTGGGTAACTCGTACGTCTTGTTGTAGAGCAGATTGTGCTCGGTGGGGGGATGCACCTGGCATCTCTACCCCCACTGCCCAGGGCTCCTGTGAAATAAGAAGGGCATCAGTCCAAAACTCTTGCTTTTTGGTGCCTATCATTCCCCCCCGCTAGCTCGGGGGAGTTTTTTCTCATCTCGCCGCTGTTACATCAGAACACATCATGTGATGGATTTGTGTGGCATGGTGCCGGGTTTTCTCTGTTATGATGTCAAATTATGAAATGAGTAGAGACCCTCAGGAGCAGAAGGCCCACATTGAGACGCGGCATCACGGCGCAGCGCTGAGCATCATTTAGCAGCAGCTGCTCGGTTTAAAGAAGCGGCTGGTTATGATCGGTGATGGTTCTAAGCTTTTAATGTTTTCATGAGGGGTTCTCAATCTCTTTGGTGGCAGACTGCCGACACATTTGGCCAGATTTCGGGCATTGATTATAGCTTCCCAAGTTTTTCAACTCATTGCCTCATTTTGCAGGAAACTCGCCTAAAATTGGCACCCACAATGTTCATGGGCGGTTCTGGATGGCTGCTACTTTATTTACTTTATCCGTGACACCAAAGAGGAATGTTTAATGCATTCTCTATTTTCTCCCTATCCAAGGAGCACCAGAGACAGCGACGCAGACGACGAAGACGACGAGCGCCGGGTGAGCCGAGGCTGCACCCTGCAGTACCAGCGGGCCCTGGTCAAGGTGCTGACCCAGTTCCACACCACCTCCACAGAGGGCACCGACCAGGTCATCACTATGCTGGGGCCCGACTGGCAGGTGGACGTCACGGACCTGGTCCAGGACTCGCTGAAGGTGGCCGACCCCAGAATAGCTGAGCTGGTGGACAGGACCGTGTTGGTGGGTCTGGAGCTGGGATCCACGGTGCTGAAGGTAAACCGACCACCTTTTCACGCCACATTGCAGAGAATTCACATTAATCAGGAGTTCAAATTAAGTGTCTTATGATGACAAACGCGTCTGAGTGAGAAGCTGGCACGGTGTTCCTCGAGCGCGCCCACGGCACAAACACAGGTTGGGTTAAGAGATGAGGAAGGAAGATTTAAAAGTTAGAGCTCATTACTCTCTCTGAGTTTACAGCAGCTGTCGGCGGCTAAAGAAGCTGCTTTCTTTTAGAGATTGTCGATGCATCGCTTGAAGGTAAAATCAGGTTTATTACAACTTGGGTTTTACTTTCATACTTTTGATCATCGCTTCGATCGGTTATGATGACATTGTACTCACCCAAAATATATTGCTGGATTTGGGAACAAGGTGATTCGCTGGATTGACTTTGTTTTTAAATCTTGTGTTTACCAGAGATGTGTTCGTACATTTTCATGTACGAACACATCTAAGTCACAATAAGTCATTCAGCATCAAAACTTTAGTCGACTTAGAACAAAACGACCGATTAGTCGACTAACAGCTAAGAAGGGGGATCCGCACTGCGTTGTAAATCATCCCACGTGATGCTACTCAGCCAGATAAATCTGTGAGCTCCCATAAGCATTGTGACTTGAGTCATTGAGTGAGACACAGGGGGAAGACGAGACAAGAGACAATAGTTATGAGTCAGAGAAAACATATTTCACCTGGCGTGCTCTACAAAGGACAGCGAAAAACAGAGCTTTTAATCAAGCCTGGATAGTCTCGTACATGTTCATTCCTCCCACAGGCAGTTCCAAACTGGTAAATTTCATGTGTTCCGAGACCTTGGCAATTATTAAAATCGGCAATGTGAAGCGCTACTATGAGACAAAGCACAAATCTTTTGAGCAAACATACCCACGCAAACCTGAACTGAGGGCACGGGAAGTAAATGATCTGAGCAGCTACTTTAATTAGCATGGCACTGATTCATGAAGCCAGTCAGACATTATGATGTTCTGTGATGTCTTTTGCTTGAGGAAGTTTTCTCTGTTGAATTTTAATTCTTCAATACTTTAATACTTCAACACTGAACACAACACAGAAGTTGTAAGTTTCTAAAGTACAAAGAAACTTTTGGTCTCTCTGTGAGTGTGTTATGCTTTTGATGTCCACTTCTGTCAAGTGGAATAGCCACCTTTTTAAGTGCGTAAAGTGCATGTAAATGCGCCGGCCGATGCAGGTTCAGAGGTCTTTAAAAGAAGGTAGTGGCACAAGTTATGAGTCCCGGGCAGTGATTTACTGAAGCGCCACTGGTCATTCATGGGCACGGAGAGAAGTAACGGTTGGCGAGAGTTTTGATCACAATGAAAGATCAGTTCCAGCCTGTCAGGAGAACGAACGGTTGCATGATGGATGCGTCCAATGATGGCGAAGTAGGGAGGGAAGATATAAGTCACCAATCCATCATTTTAAATGTGCAATGGATCATTTGCAATCTGTTGAAGGGTATGAATAATTATTCATCAATTTTACACCAGACGTAACCTGCCACGCTGACTCATAGCAATTGTAAATAAATAAACAAATACATAGATAAGGTGTTATGAATTGATCCAGAACAACATGCTCCAGTTGATCTTTGAGCTAAATGCTAATGTCAGCACGCTAACACGCTCACAACGATCAAGCTATAACCAGCTGATGCCATGCTCACCATCTTAGTTTATTTCATAGCAATCCATCCGATAGTTAGTCAACTTATTGATATTTCAGTCTGGACCAAAGTGTTGGAACAACCACCATTACCACAGAGCCGTGCTGCTAACATGGCCAATGAAAAACAAGGGCAGTTGATGCATATTTACGTGTAATAGTGCAACAAATAGCAAACTCCCGGTTGTGATTGTATCACAGTTTTGACTGGCTGATCCTTTACTACAGTCTGTTACAGCACTATTTACAGGTGGAAGTCATTCCTCATTTACTTACAAGTCAAAGTTCCCGGGACGGCAGCACTTCATTATGTCTAAGTCAAAAATGTGACGGTATAATACATATCATGATACACCTATTGCGATATATATTGCACTAATGTAAGTGAGGATTTGTTTTTTAAATGTAATTTTAGAAGAGCTGTCATCGCGTAAAGAATACAGCACCATATACATCAAATCAGAGTTAGAAAATGTTGAACATTGGGTTCAACATGTGCATTTATTAAAGTCCCTGTAACAGTATCGCCACAGTCAATATTTTCTATAGTGATCGCTGGTCACTGAGGCCAAACTGAAACTGCACCCTGCAGCAGCAGCTCCGCCGCCGTAGGTGTGAAGGAATGAAGGAAATGTGCACGGCAACTGAAAAAGCCTTTTAAACACCATGAAGGAAACAGAAGTTAGATCCCTGCCAGATGAATTATTGTTGGCTTAAAAAGACCAATTTACAAGGGAGTTAGAGTAAAATATCTCCAGTTTGCAGAGTCTATTTTACAAAGAACAGAGATATTATTATGCAGATTTTCTGAAAGTGAACTGTAAAGATCTCAACAATGGTCCCCCTACTGAGATTTTCAGTCTTTCAGAGGATTTGAATTAGTCTTAGGAGTCTGATTTAAATTATCCACCAGCTCATGAATATAAACACAGAAAAGGAGCAGCTTTTGTTCACTTTGTGCGATATTCTAGACAGACTTTTGATTTCTCTCTCTTTGGCAGGACGGTTGAGGATTATTGAGTGAATTAAGTGCCTGTGTTGGATTTGACAGTCCTGTTTAATGGAAGACACAATAGAGGAAATATCTCCGGGTTAAAAGGTAAAACTATAAAGATAGAAGATCTTGTGGGAAGGCTGTGCTTGTGTCCTGTGATTACATGGCAGAGCGATGACTTTCTAAGAATTCAGCTAACCTGGAGGGAGTTTGGGGTTTAATCCAGAGGATTACTGAACAATAGAGCCAGACTTGGACAGAATTCATTGTTCATTCACTGATCAGATATTATTTAATTAATATCTGCCAACACCAACCACTCATCCAAAGAAACACAGCAGAATGGAAATAGATTGGAGTCTAATCTACAGAATTGTTAATCTCACTGGAGAGTTAGAGTCCAATATTTACTATATGATGTAAAACTGTACATATCCCAACCATGGATGGATGAATGGGCCTCCCGGGCCCAGTGCACCCCGAGTCTTCACCTATAAAATGTCCTTCAAAGAGAAACAAACCAGCCAGGAACTCAAAATGACCACAAAGAATCATGAAACGACTACAAAGAGATGCAAAATACCACTAAGAGACGCACAACGACTGTGACAATGGCAAAAAACACAAAGAGACACAACATGTCTACAAAGAGATACAAAATAACTACAAAGAGATACAACATGTCTACAATAAGACACAAAACAACTA